TATTGCATGTTTTTGGAGTGGTCTTGTGAAATAATTAATATGCCTCCCTCCAGACATTTAGTCTATTTTCATCTGATTCATCCGTTTGTAGTGTCACCTGTCCTGTAACTCTTCCTTCTTCTTGGATCATTCTTGCTTATTGGTTTAGTTACTATGCAGCACCTCTCAAGAGGATGTCATCAGTAAGAGGAAGTGACACGTTCATGCATTCTTATAGAAGAAAGTTTGTATTTCCCACATGAGGAACTTCATAAGCTTAGGTAACGGTTTACATTAAGGTCTCATTATTTAACTTTAATGCATTAACTATCATTAACTAACAAGCAACACATTTGTTAGAGTATTTATTAATCTTTCAATAATCTATTAATGATGTTCAGTTCATTCTTAGTTCATGTTAGCTCAGGTCCATTAAATAATATTAACAGATAGCTTTTGATTTTAATAACGTATTAGTAAATGTTGAAATTAACATTAAGATTAATAACTGCCTTAAAGTTTTCCATTGTTAGTTCACGTTAACTAATGTTAATAAATGGAACCTTACTGTAAAGAGTTACCAAATAATATTTAGGCCTAAATTTGAGATTTATGTATTTGAATTGCATATACATTTCCATTTGTTTAGATTGTAATTTTAACTTAAACTAATAAACTTAATTTGATGCATATTTTTAAGTCTTACAAAAATTATAAATGAAAAGACAACATTTCTGTACTCAAAAATCATGGCATAGGTTATTATTAACTATTTGCATCTATTTGATTTGATTTAAATCATAAAATCATATTTTAAAAATACACTTATTCAAAGTGCTTAGAATCAGCATAAATCAGTTTAATGTGAAAACAATTCAATTTAGTTAAAAAGTATGGACATGGTTAAATATGGCTAGCTGTGGAACAAGCAACATTCATTTAGTTAAAATATATGACATTGACTGAAACAAACTAAATGTATTGATGATAAATCGGGTTTTTGTGTATTTAAAACACATACAGTTTATTAGTACAATTACATAAATCTTACCTGTTTCTTATCTCTTTTATTTATGTATGACTGACAAATATGCATCATATTAAGTTTATTATTTTGTTTATGTACAAAATGTGTAATCCAAATAGATGGACGTTGTATATGCAGTTCAACTACAGAAATGTACAATTTAGGCGTATATATAATAGTATAACATTTGATTGCAGTGTTCAAGCAATAGCAGCCTAAAATTTCCACTCTCTTACACTAACTCTTCCTGAAATTTTAATCTCCAGAATCCTCTGTGAAGTCGTTCATCCAGAGCTGCTGCTTTTCTTTGTTGAGTGGAGGTTGTTTTAATTATCAGTGATACATTTGCATTTGCAAGAGACAAAAGCACTCTGCATTAGCACAGCTTGTCTTCCATTTCAGACATTATTCCCTAATGTCCTCTCAAACATTGTTTTAGCAGCACGTTTCCATCCCTGAAAAACATTACGATGCCCATCATGTCTCTTCCTTCTCTTTGGCTTCTTGTCAGGACAGAGGCAGTAGAGACATATCTCGTCACAGTTGATTGATATAAACAATTTTGTGTTATACTGCTTCCTTTTTCGCTGACTGATATTTGCGATTAATTCCCCGACGGGTTTCTCTCATGGGTGTTAAATGAGCTTTCATGATAAACTAAATCAGATAAACTGCTTTGATTTATGACACAGGTTACTGCGCACTAACACCTCTGAAGTACAGCATCGAGCCTTTATGTCAGATTGTCTTTGTCTTATAGGGCAGATGTTAAGTTATCAGTCACCTTATGATGCTCAGCTCATGGTTCAAATGAAGAGGATGTGGTTCATTTTATGAGGTATCTGTTTTTTTTTGCCTTATATAATTACAGCACTCTGTCCAGCAGGATGATTTCAGTTAAGATATGATGTTGATATTCATTTACCGGAGTCAGATTGATGAGAAATTTGTGAATCAGAAATCTGTGACTGTGGTCTGCAGATACTGTCTTAAATGTTATAGATGTGGTGCAGATGAGGTGTTGTTTGTGCTCACTGGGATTCAGGTTTGAGTTTGGCCTGTTTTTTTTTTCTTTGCTCTAAATTAAAGGGAAAAGGCCTGTAAAAGTATATTATGATTTATCCAATTTGGCTTTTATGAAAATAAAATCTGTTTTGCCTAGTGTGCTGTGATTGCAATATTTGGGACAATAAAATGCAATTTAGTCAATCAATATGTAAGTGAAAAGCAAATTGGTTTTGTACCAGCTTGCCTGAAAACGATTATATTGCGACAGTGACTGGCTGACTGTTGACTATCCTGCTCCTTACACTAATATTGCCAAACTAATAAAGAAAACATGAGCTTGAAATATTGATTTGAATTTATATGATATTTATAGCTTACTTGTCGATTACCTTGAGAAATATAGTACATTACGACATAAAAAACATAATGCCTAGCAGCAACACATACATGTTACAATATTAAATATTATTATTATTGTTGTTGTTTTTAATTATTTGACTATTATTTTAAATGAGTGTTATTTAAATGTATTTATTTATTTTTATTTATTATTATTTGCTACTACTTTTCAATGAACTAGTTATCTAACATAACTACAATGCAAATAACATGTTTTTTCCCCTGTTTTTATTCAGAATTTTCTGTCTGTTACCTTTTTTTTGTTCTTCAAGCAATGTTTGTCTATTCATGCTTTAACTGGAGACTCCTGAACGTCTCGGTTACGTATGTAACCCTCGTTCCCTGAAGGAGGGAACGGAGACGTCACGTCGGAGGACCGACGAAATTGGGATCTCGCTTAGAGGGACCAATCTACTTCGAGTGTAAACTAAATGAGCCAATGCACATTGGCATGCGATTATTGCATCCAGCTGCTGCTGATCACAGCGTGAGTATAAGTAGGCAGCAGGTGCAGCGCATATTCAGGTTTTCGCTGAGGAGCCGAGCCGGTGACCCGGCCGCTCAGCGGTGGTACAGGAGCTGTGGCGATGGGACGTGACGTCTCCGTTCCCTCCTTCAACAAACTAATTAATTCGTGGCAGCTAAGCCTAAACAAGAGAACAAATACTTAATTCGTGGCCATAATGTAGTCCTAGCATAAAAGAGAACTAGCCTATTCTAAATTCGTTGGCCGTGCTTGTCTGCATGTCATGATCGGGGCTCCGTACAACCGAATATAACCTTAGCCTACCTGTTTATTCCTTTATTATGGTATATAACTAGCTCACCTTTTGCAGCACCATGTTTGCTTAGCACATCCTCGTGCTTTCTGGCAATGTGCCACTTCAGATTCCAATATGAATCTTTACTAACTCTCCCCGCACTCCCTCTCAGTTTCTTCTCCCTGCTCATTCTTAACTTAGATTTTTTACTTTACATTTATGTATAAGGCTTGCAACTTCGTTGAAACAATATCTGAACTCCATAACTGCTCTACTATTCTCGATCTCGAACAAGCAAATCACCAAACGGCATTCTGGGTTGAGCGAGCGGCACTGAGCGTTTTGAGTGAGCGGAGCGGAATCTTCAGAAAGGCGCTCTGCGCTCTTAAGGAAATATTGCAACTCCGCTCCCCGCTCACATGCTCTGTCTGCAACACAAACAGGGGGTAGTGCAGCCTGATGTGTGCAACCCACTCGACACGGGAAACCACCACCGCTGAAGCACCGTCCACCAACACAAAGAGCTCTCCAAGAGCGCGCTGAACTCGTTCAGTCTTTTCTCTCAGTAGAGTAGTCAGGAGCAGAACGATGTGATCGCTCGGCTCCGAAGCGAAAAACTGAATATGCGCTGCACCTGCTGCCTACTTATACTCACGCTGTGATCAGCAGCAGCTGGATGCAATAATCGCATGCCAATGTGCATTGGCTCGTTTAGTTTACACTCGAAGTAGATTGGTCCCTCTAAGCGAGATCCCAATTTCGTCGGTCCTCCGACGTGACGTCGAGAGTGACCGACTGAAAGGGAACTTCTAACTATATATCGAAAGGTCTATGATCACTTTAAAATGAAAAATGATTACCTCAGAGGCAAGTTTTACAATTTGAAATGCAAAATTAGCTATATCAATTTATGTTGACAGGAAAAGAAAGGGATCATGGAGTGATAAAAGAGTCATGAAAGGAGTCACATCCTTAGCAATGACTAACCAGACAAGTCCTCTGAACAATCTGACTTGTGTTGCAGCCTGGAATTAAACCACACCATGCTGGTTTCGTCTGGCCAGAGGATAACTGGCCCCCCGACTGAGCTGGTTTCTCCCAAGGTTTTTTTCCCTATTTCTGTCATGGATGGTTCCTTGCCACTGTCGCCTTTGGCTTGCTTAGTTGGGGACACTTAATTTCTGGCAATATTGTCGACTTGACTGCACAGACACTATTGGAAGAGAACTGAACTGAGCTGGACGCTGACACTGGATCAATGATGAACTGCCTTTAACTGAAAAATTGACTGTTTACTATTGTCCTCTTGCATTATTGACACACCATTTTCCTGTTTTACACTTTAAAGCTGCTTTGACACAATCTGTATTGTATAAAGCACTATATAAATAAAGGTGACTTGACTTCACGTGACATTAAAGCAACACTGGTCCATTTTTGTGTCCACTTGTCAAATATAGAGTTTAGCAGTCATTACACAAAAATATTTGACTGTTCGTCTGACCGGTGAGAAGCAAGTAGTCCAGAGATCCATGTAATAAATGAAGATAATGATAGCCTATCGTAAGGTTCATGGATAATAAAAGCTCAACCTCAGCTCGAATAAAACACAAAGCTCCAGACAATTTCCTTTTTCGTACCAATTATAGAGACACAGTGGTACTCTGCAATTTTTTTGTACAATGCTTAGCATTTAAACTATACCAGCTTCAATTATGTAGAAAGTTATTTTGTGTGAATATGTGTGTGATTTAGTGAATCAGCTATTTGCTTGTGAGAATGTGTTTTTCTGTCATAAACTAGAATATACTTTTCTCTTCCCACAGTGCAGTGTCTGGAGATGACTACTAAGAGGAAGATCATCGGCCGCCTGGTGCCCTGTCGATGTTTCCGGGGCGAGGAGGAGGTCATCTCAGTGCTGGATTATTCCCACTGTAGCTTGCAGCAGGTCCCTAAGGAGATCTTCAGCTTCGAGCGCACGCTAGAAGAGCTCTACCTTGACGCCAACCAGATTGAGGAGCTGCCTAAGGTAAATTGTCAAGTGTCAGCTTAAACATGTATAATATCTGCCAAACAGTGGATACATCAACTCCTGAACATCATCTTACACAGCAGTGCAACAGTACACAAAAATGGTGCAAATTTAATTATTAATGTAATTAATTCCTTATAAAGCCCTAAAAGTGTCCCATAATTGAAGTTTATTGATATTATCATTATTACCATTTGGTATTTCATATTGGTTAAGGTTAATCATGCTTTGTCTAATGTATCTATAACAGACTATAACAGGATCATCATGGACAGCTCCCATATTGTGTGTGCAAAGCTGTATATATATATGCTTTTGTTTATCTGAATTTGGTCTATATCATTTGTTCTGATATGCTCCTTAGATAAGTGTTTAAGTAATAAGTGTTTGCTCACTTTTAACTCTTGAAGTGCCATTCTAAACCCATGGTTGTTATCTTAATTCATGTTTAACACTGTTCATACTTTCCCTGGGCTAGTTATTTCTCTAGTCGGGCTTTCAGCAGACTTTGCTCCAGTCTTCAGTGTCACATGATCCTTCAGAAATCATTCTAACATGCTGATTTGGTGCTCAAGAAATATGTGAAATTATTATCAATGTTGAAAACGGTTTTGCTGCGTAATATTTTTGTAGAAACAATAATACTGTACATTTTGTCAGGATTCTTTGAAGAATCAGTTCAATAGAAGAGCATTTATTTGAAATTTTGTAATTTTGAATCTTTTGTAACATTATACATATCTTTACTGTCACTTTTGAATGATTTAATGTATCCCTGCTGAATAAAAGTGTTTTTCCACTCAGATTGTGCATGTAAAGTATGCAGAGTACTAGGACAAAACAGGATACAGAACTGAAATACGTTATTTTTCAATGAATTATTTTGGATTAATCTTTTAAACACGGTTACAAATCTAGTATTCACTTCAGTGAATGAATTGATTGAGACTGCAGGATGGTTTCAAACTGATTGTCAGCTCAAAAATACCACACAGATTGTGTGACAGAGTTGATATGGTTGAGTTTTGTGAATTTATTAGAGAAAATGAAATCAAATAGTACTGAATTAAATGGAAGTGAAAAGTAATGTGAGGTTGTGGGACATTTTCTTCTCATTTGTAAGTGTTTTAAGAATTTGTAAACTGTACAAATATAGCATGGCACAAGAAACTTTAAATAACTGCTTGTCCATCTGTGGGAATGCCACTCTGGTTGTCCTAAGTCACCTATAAAAAGCAAGAGCAACACAGAAATAAAAGAGGAGCTAAATGACTTTAGGAGCTAAATTACGGGTGTAAAATGTAGTTCACCTAGTGTTAAATATTGTCTTTTTTATTATATAACCGGCAAGCGAGGATAAAACAGAGGATAAAAAATGAACACGTTCTTTAACCAAATCTCCTTATTTCTCTGTCTTTCTTAGCAACTCTTCAACTGTCAAGCACTCAAGAAGCTGAGCATGCCTGACAATGACCTCTCCAACCTGCCAACCACCATCGCCAGCCTTGTGAATCTAAAGGAGTTAGATATTAGTAAAAATGGTATATTCTTAACTGCATTTATTCTATATTTACTTATTTAAATCTATTTTGCCAAGCCATTTTTTGTGCCGAGCATATTGGATTGATTGTATATGATTGCACCTTTATACACATGTATCAACATGGTAAAACTGACTTTGTTTCAGGTATTCAAGAGTTTCCAGACAACATTAAATGCTGTAAATGTCTATCAGTTGTGGAGGCCAGTGTAAATCCTATAGCCAAGTACGTAGAGCTGCTCACATTTCTTAAATCAGAAAGACTGAGAACATTCATGTTTGATAATTGTTCTATAATGTACATATAGGTAGTTGACGAATCCGTATATATTTATTTAACATATTATGTGGATCTTATGTCAATAGATTTTAGTTAAAATTTTATGGTCACTCTTTCTTAAATCATCTTAATCTCATTTTCCTTCACTATCTTATTTAAATGGTGTTGTGGATTTTTAAAAAATATGAGTATTTCATGTCCCTTAAATATGAGATAATAAAAGCTGCGTGTGAAATAATTATAAAACCAATAAAATAAAAAAGAATAAGAAGAAGCATGTTGCGTTTTTTCATGTTCGCTAATTTTGCCATTTCTTTCAAACACTGTTTCTGTTTGAATTTCTTCATTTACACTGCCTTAAAATGTAACGAGATCTTTGGAGCTTTTGTTTTGTATGCAGCTGAGCAAATAAGACAATATTGATATTTGAATCAAACACCTCTTCAAATAATTGCATTAAAATATAAAACTCTTCTCTTATTTTCCTGAAGAGGATTTCCTATCTACAGTTTACACAATATGAAATTGATTATTATATCATACAGTACATGGATTTGCTGTATTTGTTCTCTTCACTATCAAATGGAAGCAATTATTAGTTTTCCTTATCTGGGGTCCTGGGGATAAAAATACAAAGTCAACATACAAGCAAAAGCTAGATGTTTTCACATTTCATGTAACAATTTTTTTAAATCCATGATTAAACATAGTTTTGAATTCTAAAGCACATCTGTACATTAATAATGCATATTGTAAGTAGACATCATGCCTTAAAACTGAACCAAACTTCATTTAAGGAGAGATAAGACATGCATTTCTTTTTTATCTCAGTGTATTAATTTGGCCTTCAGTGCTGAGCTTCAAATCTTTGAAGTTTAATGTTAAAGGATCAAACATTCAGGAACCAGTGCATGGTCTCTGCAGAAAGCCCTTTTCCTTATATTATGATTAAATCAGCCCTCAAGTGACTCCATTTACTGGGATGCTAACAGAGCTAGTAGAAGGGGAAGTGTAGAGGGATTACAGATGGCTCTCGCCGCTCCTGAAGTACTTAACGCTTATCAAATCCTAAGGGCACTGGCCTTTGAGAGGGTCTGATCACCTCTCTGTTACTGCAGGCTCCCAGACGGGTTCACCCAGCTCCTCAACTTGACACAGCTCTTCTTAAATGATGCCTTCCTTGAATACCTGCCTGCCAACTTTGGGAGGTAAGAGCTTCATCTCTGTTCCTGCTCTGCTGGGGATTGTGAAATGGCTCTTTAGCACACCTGTCTGAATTTGTCTCGTTCTTGTAGTTGTCATCGTAGCAGTTTTATTTTTAGATGTTATTTTGTATCCGAGAAGCAGCATGGTGCTGATTCTGGCAGTGATTTGCCTAAAGCTTTCATGAATAAATTGGTTCTTGCAGCTCATATTGGGTTTAATGATGAATGGTTATTTCATTTACATTGGGGAAAAGGGGATTTATTATTGCAGCTGACATTGGTCAAGGGTTGTTGCATTTACTTTTGATAAAAGTTTGACAACACTGTGTATTTGCATGGGCTGTCTGTGTTGTTATAGAGCTTGATTCATTAATTTAAGCTTTTTTAGAAGGTGGTAATACTGCAATGTTAATTGCGCAATGTCCAGACAAATAGCCCTAAGTCTGAACATTTATAGCAAGAATGATACATTCATGCTGAAATTATTGACATTAATTTAAATACTCATGGTGCAGCCAAACAGCGCCTGGTTAAAATGCATTGTGAAAAATCTGTCATATTTTTTGTGCTGAAATACCACATGCAAAAGTGGCAGAACTGTTTATTGAATTCACTCAATGTTGAATGTTTTTGCTTTTAAAAAATTAGGTGAAGAATGTTTCCAAAATTGATTTGTTTTTGTTTTTCAGATTATCTAAATTACGGATCCTGGAGCTTCGTGAGAATCATCTGAAAACTATGCCAAAGTAAGTCAATTCTTTGGTTTCTGCCAACATGGGATCATTAAATAAATACATGCCATAAAAAAAGCATGAAAAAATGGTGTAGGACAAACATCACAGCAAGTATTGTAAACACTGCCTTAAAATGTAAAGAGATGGAGCTTTTGTTTTGTACACCTACTATAGCAGCTGAGCAAATAATCCAATACTGATATTTGAATCTAACACCACTTCAAATAATTGCATTAATATATAAAACTCTTCACTTATCTTCCGTGAAGAGGATTTTCATTTAGTTATTTTATTTGTCCTTCAATAATGTGATTTAGACACAAGTTTGTGTAACAGACCCAGAGTAGCAGAGTCTACAATGTAATTTGTCATGGTGGGGAAAACCTCTGGACCCCTCTAGAGAAGGACACATATTGCACACGATGGTTTATATTTGCTGACTTGTTCAGATGTTCTGGTTCAAGTCTATTTTTATCTGCCAGCAAGAATACCGCCTATCTTTCCTTCAAACCCAAACTGAGAGAGCAGTGTTTGCCCACATGTAGCATACTGAATGAGGGCCGGGTTGTAAATATTGTGACAAATATTTGAGTACAAAGTTGCAGAATTTTCTTTTTTGGGTGAAATAGTTCTTTAGAGTGCATTTAATAATCCATATCGTCTACATATATTTGAAGTGAGTTTTGTCATGTTGCAGGTCAATTCATAGGCTGTCGCAACTGGAGCGGTTAGACTTGGGAAGCAATGAATTCTCTGAACTGGTAAGAAAGATGTTCTCCTATTGAACACTTTTATCAATGAGACAGCTGTTACCTCACTCAGTCAACAAAATTTTGGTTTAGGGGGGATTGAGGAGGGGGGTAGAGGAAGCTATTGCCTCCATTCCCAGAGTCTCTTGTCAGCTCTCCAGTGCTGCACTGCATTGGTTGCATCACATGCACTGATCCATTATTCATGAGTTGGTTCAAATACACAGCACTTCCCATGACGTTCACCACTGAGCAGCATTTAATTGGCTAACCCAAGCTGGAGTAAACAATGGCAAGGAATTTATCGTATGCATACCAGGTAGCCCCACTCACACATCCCCATGGCTGTTTCTTTCAGTGCTTGATGCTGGGCATTGCATTTATTTATTTGAGTATAAATCAATGAGGAGGTCCATGAGCAGGCAAGCTACTGTGTCTAGAGCAGTGGTTCTTTTCCACTGGGCCGCATTATGGTCCAAGTGCAAGTCTCACGGGCCGCACGCATATCATTTACATATTATGTCACCAGTACAAACCAACCAGATTTATAATAGCCTATTATAGCCTAAATATTATGATATCTAATCGATTACATTCATTGAAATAAATAAATAATTATACTCCCCATTAATAAAACACCTGATGCTGTCGGGAGCTGACTAATTTTGTGAAATTCGGCTCGAAAGGAGTAACACCACAATGAAGTTGCGATTGTAAGTTGCAGTCTGTAGGACGCGTGACATTGCAGAAAATGTGCGTTCACAAATGTAGCCTATGTTGATCCAAATATGGAAAGCACTTTCGAATGCAGGTTCTCTCCAGAGATGTTTTGCCACATTTCTGCAATTAAGGATGATTGCTGCATATGGGTGTTTCCTTTTGCCTGCCCTGAACATCTTCAAGTGAGTGGCGGGGCAAACCGAAAGTTGATGCCGAAAGTCCAGCACTCTCCTACCTTCACTGCTGCGACTACTGTTGTTTGTATGCGTTCCTTCGCTGGCATTTTCCACATTTCGTTTTTCTCACTTAACAAATGTGTCCATTCTGATACTCAATTTTACCGAACTAATGGCTGCTGATGACTATTTGAATTGAATTCTGCCAAAGTGTGCGCTTGTAAGTGTTCCTTAAATGTGTAACGTTAATTACGTGAGTAGGCTACAGGTCTGCTCATGTCTGAAAATAATATATGAAAAACAAAATTATTTTACATAACAAAAACATTATAGCTTATATTTGTTTAGTAAATTTTTTAATTAATGTAAAAAGTAAAATGAATTGTAAAACTGAAAGTTTTTTTTTAAAATTGTGTTCAGCGGGCCGCATTTGAATTCGTGACAGGCCGCGGGTTGAGAACCACTGGACAGAGGAACTGTGGCAGTTGAACTCCAAAGTAGCCATTAATAGCAGATTTTTTTCCCCCAGTAATTGACTTTGTTCTGTGATAGTTTGAATAGGAGCTGCTGGTTGTATTCAAAACTGGTCCATTCCATTGACCATGAAACATGTTGTAATAATGGCTGGAAAAACATTTTAAGCTAGGGTTTTCCGATAAATCTATATTTATAAAAAAAAAACTTCACTTCATAATAAAAGCTATTGTCAAATACACACTGAATCTCAAATGTCTTCATGACAAATTGGCAAAATAAAGGAATTGAGGAAATTATGACAGAAATATAATACCTTTGGATTTGAGACTTTAGTCTTTGCAAATTTACAGATCTTCTTTATGCACCAAGAGCTTGTAACACTCCAAAGAGAAAGGAAAAAATTAAATCGCATCATATGACCCCTTTAAATTGTACTTCTCAGTGTAATAATAATTACATTTTGAAAACAATATCACTATTATTATTTTTGTTGTTGCAGCAGCTGTTGTAAGGAATATCATGCAACCAAGATATTTTTTTTCATATCTACATTTATTGTTGTGGTCTATCAAACATGTGGCAATGCATTTCCTTCCCTGTTAATGGTATGAAATGAATATTATGATCAATATCAATATTGTATTATTTATATATATATATATTTGAAAATGAAAATATATTTGGCCATGTCATCCAGCCCTATTTTAAGCTTCCCAGTACCAAACAGGTGGAGTTTATAGAGTTGTGAAATTACTTTTAAACTTTGTGTCAGTGTCATACACACGTTTGGAATATCCAGGGGAATTTGTCCTTGGGTGATGAAAAAATGCATGCGCGCATCAATGCTTCCAAAGGGAACAGATGGTTTGGCATTGCAGTAAGCGTGCTTTACTGCTCAAAGCCCCCAACTAATAAGAGAACACCCATCAACACTTTCTGGTTCTGCTGTCTGGACTTTAAGTCTCCGTGTCCCACTTCAAGATGACTTTTCAAAAAACTTTTGACCTTTCCTGTTGGCAGCCCCATTATTGCTCTTTTAATTTGAGCTCAGCTTCATGTCAGATGTTTTAAATATCTCTGATAATGGTGATTTTGGAGTTGTTGTCCTTCTCAACTGTGTCCAGCAATTCTAAACATTATAAACTTTATATATTTTACATAATGTGTGAAATTGCTATTAAATGTGTCATTCCATGTCCTATTAGTAAATGACATAATAATAAAAAATAAAAAAAATTTGGTAACAGGACTAATTGATTGATTGATTTTAATTGCATGTTTTTATTAGTAAATGACAGAATCACACAGAAAAACAGTCCCAAGTTGCAAACTGCAAGCCTTGTAAATGAACAGAAGGTTAAAAAGCTCATATAATATTTAATTTCACCTTCTCTGGCTGATGATCAACATCACCCGAAGGTTAAGAATCTCTCACTGAGTTTCAGGCCCTATTTTGTACTCTATTCATGAAAGTACCAAATATTTAAAGAGAAAAACAACAGTACATTAACGAGCAATAATCCTCAACAGAAATGTTACTCATTGGTTTCCTCAAGCATTTTTGGATGCATTACATCATGTCAGGTAATCATGGCATAGAAGACGCACAGCCTGAAAACAAACATTAGTTTAATTTATAATAGCTCTGTTGGTGTCGTTCTTTTAGGCAGATATTTCTCTCTAACAGCACACATTCTCTAAACAATGAGTGTTGAGAGTAGAGCACTGGTGGCATGAAGCATTTATCAGGATATCTGACTCTTGCTGTGATGTTGGCAGATGTTGGCTGGTGTGGTGCCCTGAGCTGCAGATAGTTTCTTAATTGAAGTCCTTGCTGAGGGGATCATGAGAGGACAGACACTAGGGCTCAAAGGGAGAGAAAAGCAGAGAGCAGCCATTAAGAACTGACTGAGTCTGCGGCACCCTGTAACCTTTCTGATGGCATAATTATATCGCAGCATATATTAAAATTAGTTAATTAATTAAGACTGAAAATATTACCTTATATTGGTCTGATAAAATCTTCCTCAAATTAATTTGACAAATTGCTAATCAAACTGGCAAAACTTAGTCTGACTTAAACTGTCTGATTTAGGATTTTTAATACAAAATCAAATGGGAAATTCAGGGACAAGGTGTATATAAACCATATTTCATAGCATCTTTGAATTAAGAGGTCATATTTTTTGCAGACTGCCTTTTTCGTTTGTCATAGCTGTCACCACTACCTCATTCCTGTGATACTATACTCCATGCATCTCTCTTCTTGGTTTGTCATTGCTCGGTTCTGTGTGTTGTGTTAATCAAACATGCATCTTAAATGGGCACTTCAGTGCACGTGGCAAAACCGGGTAAGTAGACCAGCGAGTGTTTGTATTCCCCACACATCTGCCACAGCATGTTTATTTAGGCAAGGGCATACCTTTGCATCCATATCTCGCTTAAAGAGACACAATGAAAGCCCTGCATATGGAAGGCCAGCTGGACCAGTCTGCTAGAACAAATGTTGGACTAATGACCTTACTTAGCTTAACAAATATACATCGACCTCTTTCAAATTGATTACATTTAAATAAGACAAAATATAAGAAAAATAACTAAGGAACAAATTACAGGAGGATTGCAAGGAAAAAAATGTTTTAAATGAATAATGTGAGGTCCATTACTAAAAGCACTGAAACTTGTTTGACTCAATAAACACTGTGGCATATACCAGATCATTGTAAATGTTATAAACTAACATAAGGTTTGCTTTAAGAGCCCAGTATTTTGTAAGATAAGAGTGCTTTTTACAACCACCCTAATCATATTTCAGTATAGCATATTTAGTAAATTCATCATCAGTCCCTTTAACATGTCTTCTGTTAATTCATACCTTTTTTACGTGGAGACAATGGTTCCACATATCTCATAATTCTCATTTTCTATTAACAAAACTAATCTTAAAATTATGAGCCATAGATACTGACACTACTTAAATTCAGTGTACTTAAGCCTGGATATTTTGTTTGCATATTGTAAACATTTGAATGGGATGTTAGAATGTGAATTCCTTATTAAAGGAATAGGTTACGTTTCATCATTTTCTCACCTTCATTTTCTTCCAATCTTCTATGGAACACTAAAGTATAAATGTTGATGAATGTACTGGTCACTTTTTTCCAATGAAAATGAACAGGAACTGGGCCTGTCAAGTTCCAAAATGACAAAATAGCACCATAAGCATCATCTGTACTGCATAGTCCAAGTCTTCTGAAGCCATACACTTTGTGTTAATATGAAGGCATTTTCCGTATTGGTTTTACATATTTTAAATTATGCATTGAATTGTGTTTGGTTTTAGGGTGAATGTCTGTAAACTTAAAGGGGTCATATGCTGTTGCTAAAAAATTACTTTATTTGGTGTATTTGGTGTAATGAAATGTGTTTATGCGGTTTAAGGTTAAAAAAACACATTATTTTCCACATACTGTACATTATTGTCTCTCCTCTATGCCCTGCCTTTCTGAAACGCGTCGATTTTTACAAAGCTCATCGGTCTGAAAAGCGAGGTGTACGCTGATTGGCCAGCTATCCAGTGCGTTGTGATTTTGTGACAAAATCAATAAAACCCATAACAAACGAGGCATTTTTTGCATCCAGTGGGGACATAATTACTGATTATAATGACTTATACTGTCTTTTTACATGTTGCGTTGCATCTCGCCATGTAAACATAAAACCATGTCTGCATTTGTGATCAGAGAAACGACAAACAACAAGCGCTACTCTACACTGCTCAAAACTCGCGTTTGAGTCATCAGTGGCAAATTCTTTAAATATGAAAACATACTTACAGGCTGTGAGAACAGCCGGCATTGTAGGCTACTCTCACAGATTCAGGAAACAGTCCTCCGTAAAATGCGTTGCACACATCTGAATATTTGGTTTGAACTGTTCTGGAACAGTGTTGTAAATACAACTTAACCACTGATTTCTAGTTGTGTCCTCTTTTGGAAGGCCAAACAAAGTAGTTTCGCTTTCACAATGAAACACACAGCGTCTTCACAACGTGGCAGTGGCGGCAGCAGCGAGAATCAAAGTTACGCCTTCTTTCTTTGCGTGAACATTTGGGAGGTGTTATGCAAATATTCCCACACAGTGATGTAGACATGTGGGGGCGTGTTTAAATGAGGCGTTTTAGGAGGTCGTGAACGAGTCTTAACTTTTAAAATAGAATATCTTTTTAGGTTTGAGACTTTAGTCTTTGCAACTTTAGGGATTTTTTCTATTCACGAACAGCTAGTAACACTCCAAAGAGAAAGAAAAACTTGAAATCGCATCATATGACCCCTTTAACAGTAGGGCTGCACCCTAATAGTCGACTAACCGTTAGTCGACGAGAAGAGGCTTAGTCGATCAAAATTATATTAGTCGCTTAGTCGCAGAAAAAAACAACATTAGCAACATTACATGGTTTTACAAGTGTATTGTGCAGTGTTTACAAGTGTTTGTGCGGAGTGTGGAAGCTAATAGTAGCGCGCCTACTGCATGACAGTTAACTAGGAGCCAGTGTGATCATTTGCATTTAACTTAAAATACTCTGTCATTTTTGCTCATTCAGAGTAATATATCTTTCGGATTCGTAAAAGGTTTACTTTTATTTGTGTGCACTCACAATAACAACAAAACGTTGTGCTTTTGTAAAATAATGAAATCAAACAGTGTGCGCTTTCTGCCATCTAGGTCTCTGTGAACTTGAGCATGTCAAAAACAAATTAGCTGAAACTCTGTGCTTGCTTAACAGACATAAAAAATATATCTATAGAAAGTGAAATGTCTACTTTTAAATGAACCAATTCAAATGGAAAACAAATAATATCAGATTATGTAATCTGTATGAAACATGCACATCCTCTGTGGAGATGAGTCAGTGTCATTGACTTCATCACTGCAGCCGAAAATACAGAAAACACTAGTTTATCATTGAATAATATTAAGGCAGTTTTCTTGCTGTTTTTTCCCTGACGCATTCATAATCATTACTTCTGCCAGTGTGCTGCTGCAAGTTTTATGTGTGCGCTTGAGCGCTGATAGGCTATAGGCAATTAAAGGCTCATTATTATGAATTATATGGTTTATTTATATAAAAATGCGAATAGAAAAATCTTTAATTGAGGCAGCCTTACTTAACAGATAATGTCGTAGCAGAAAATTACCAGTATCTTTTCTGTTTCTATTTATTTATTTATTTTCTTACAGAGTATGATTACTTGTGAAAACGTATTTATCTTCCTCTGGAATTATCATTGATGCTGATGGCGCTATATATGCTTTTAGAGCAAAATTTTCTGTAAATAATCAGGTTAGGTGTGTTCCTCACACAAAACTTTCGTATGGCTTTAGATGACTTGGAAAATAGTGCAAAGATTATTATGAACTACATTTATGATGCTTTTTTGAAGCTTGACAGCCTGTACCCTCATTCACTTTCATTATATGAAAAAGAGTGTACAAAAATGAAAACATATGGGCTTGGAATGACATGAGGGTGAGCAAAAAAAATAAGCAAACTATTCCTTTAAGACTTTGGTTAAACCTGCAATTTAACCTATACTCTAAACTTTTTTAAAGAAGAGTTATTCACTATGGTAGAGGCAATTATTTATTTATCTGCTGACCTTTAAAGAGACGTCACATGATGTATACATTTATCTTATCATCTCATGAAGTGTTTTCAATAAGCTTTCAATAGGGATTAAGCGACCCTGCATAACTGCACACTCCTCACCTGCTTTCTCTTACATCTGCCAGTTTATCACTTTTAGAGGAGTTTGACTGTAGCTGTAATGAACTGGAATCCCTGCCTCCCACCGTTGGCTACCTGCACAGTCTTCGGACATTTGCGGCAGATGAGAACTTCCTGACTGAGCTGCCCAGGGAGGTGAGTATTAGTGTTATGCACTTTCTACAGAAATAATAAGGGAAATCAAAGTCACGTTCTCTATATATTTTACCTCTCTTTGTTCTGAAAATACATCCTAGACCAGCAAGGTTGGTTTACATTGGTTGCCAGTTTAAACAAGTTTAAGGACATTTAGGTATGTTCAAGCTGGTCTACAACAATAAAACAATTACTTTTTTAACAGGGCACAGAAATTACTTGTCAACAAAGCCACTTTTTCAGCTACCCTTTAAAACTTTGGGGTCTTATAGATTTTATATGAATATGTAAAACCTTCATATCTTAATAGCGTTTATATTGATATAAAAATTGTTTAACACTTAATCTGCCATTCAGAAGTTTGGGGGTTTTGAAAGAAGTCCCTTATGCTCATGAAGGCTGCATTTATTTAATAAAAACAAAAAGAAAACAGTAATATTGTGAAATATTATTAAAATTTTAATTAGAAGATTAATTTTCAATAGCTATTACTCCAGTGTTACATGATCCTTCAGAAATCATTCTATTATGTTGATTTGGTGCTCAAGAAACATTTTTTATTATTTTCAGCATTGAAAAAAAATTGTGCTAGTTAATATTTTTGTGGAACCCATGATATATGGGCATATTTATTTCAGGATTCTATGACTGAAGAACGGCATTTATTTGAAATAGAAATCTTTTGTAACATTATAAATGACTTTACTCACTTTTGATCAATGTAATGCATCTGTGCTGAGAGAAAAGTATTACTTTCTTTAAAAAAAAAAAACTAACCCCAAACTTTCAAACAGTAGTATATTGGCTGCCCAGAATCCGAAAGTAACAATGTTAGCTGTGCAACACACAAAACATTATTAAACTATAAACTATCAAATAATACAGGATATATATATTTTTGCTACCACATTTTGAGATCCACTCAAGTGGCTGAATACAGGACAGCCTAAATCTGTAAAACCAAATGCATGGTAATGTCCTGCTGACCTTCACTTGCTGTATTGACAGAATACAAGAGTCAGTTTACCTGAGAGAAAGATAGAATGCTGATATTCAACAAAAAAAAAAAAGCTGACAAAATTGCCTTACCAGAGCTATCATATCCTGTCCTGTGCTGCAGATTGGAAACTGCAAGAATGTCACAGTCATGTCCTTGCGCTCCAATAAACTGGAGTTTCTGCCTGATGAGATTGGACAGATGACAAAGCTACGTGTTCTCAATCTAAGTGACAATAGGTAACACCAGATGTTCCTGTAGTGTTTTTTTTTCTTTCATTTTACACCCTGTGCACACATTTGTCAACATTCACACCAACACATGATCTGCAAAATTGTTTAATGAATAAAAGATGAGATGATATTTGCTTAAAATTTAGAAAGTGCCTCTTCAGATATCTTATAGGTTTGATGAACAGTCCCAATCGGTTTGTGTAAAGCAGTGAGGATGCTGTTTATTATTTTCCATAATGGCACAGTAATGGGGCATGACATCAGAAAAGTGCCTGGCGTTCCCACAGGTTAATTAAGAAAGCTCTTTATGAGCTGTGTGGACAGTTTCGATGCTCTGACTGCGATTATCTGGAAGCAGAGTAATTAAACTTAACTAAGACTAAACGCGGCATAGCCATTAGAGTATCTAGTATACCTGTATAGTAAGTGTACAGAATCACCACAGGTCTTCATAACATTTTAACTACACCAAATAACTCTCTCCAACAGTCTCATTTGACTTTTGCCATCCATGTTTTGCCTTTCTAAAATCTCATGAACTAATCCTTTATGTTCTGTTTTAGGTTAAAGAATCTTCCCTTCACTTTCACTAAATTGAAAGATCTTGCTGCACTCTGGTTATCTGACAATCAGGTTGTTATCTGGAACTCCTTTTTAAATTGTGTACAAAGTCTTAACTACACAGTATTTTGACCACTTTTTAACCACATTGCATGAACGGTTAATACAGTGCTGTCATTGAATAGTTGTATTTACAACAATTCTTTTTGTTATTCAGTCCAAGGCCCTTATCCCCCTTCAAACAGAGGCTCACCCTGAGACCAAACAGAGAGTCTTGACCAACTACATGTTTCCTCAGCAGCCCCGGCACGATGAGGGTAAGAATAAATCAACCGTTTCTCTTTTTTTTGATTTTACTGGATTTAAACTGGATGGACATGCGTTTTCCATGCTGCAGATTACCAGTCTGACAGTGACAGCTTTAATCCCACTCTCTGGGAGGAACAGAGACAGCAGAGGATGACGGTGGCATTTGAGTTTGAGGACAAGAAGGAAGAAGAGGACAACTCAGGAAAAGTGAAGGTCCCCTTAAGAATTGAAATGTGAACCTCTTTGGCCCTGTATACACCTGGTAGTAACATCCATCTCGGGTGATCTGATCACAGATGTTAATATCAGATATAACCAGGGCCACTGCTGTGTTTGGTTAGCTGGGATTTATGAAAAAAAAAACTTTAAGCATCAGAATAGGTCATATCTTTGCCATATGGGCTAAATGCTCTTCCTATAGAAGTTATTTCCTAATAAAATTAAAATGATAAATCAAATGCTCAAATGATCAAATAATAAATGAAACTCTCAAAATGGTTTCTCAAATGATCAAATGCAATTTCATTTCCTAATACGGGGAAGCATGAACTGTATCAAAAATCAAATAAAAAATAATTTGTATTTGATATTTAATTTTCATTATCAACCCAGTATAAACCTGTCATAATTAAATCTATAATCCAGTGCTCAAATGGACCTCGCAAATGGCAAATCAAATGCTCAATCGGACATTGCAAATGATAAATCAAATACTCAAATTATAAATCAAATGCTTAAACGGAAACTGAAAAAGGCGAATCAAATGCTCGAACAGACATCGCAAATAATAAATCAAATGCAAATGAGGAGTGTCAATCAAGTAGCGTGTGCGGAGCTTTGAGACGCGACAAGCACAAGTGAGGGAAATCTTTGCGTGGCGGTGGCAGCTGCCACCAAGACCTGCCACAACTGAACAATCTGATAGATGTGTGTGAACAAACATACAGTGCAATCTGGGTCTCCTTCTATTGTTTTGGCACCTTATACAATATACAATTTCTTCACTTATACCCCAAATGCAGCGAGTCCTGTTAACAGCAGGAGCCACAAAAGCACAATATTCACCATTTACCAAACTCTTTTCACCTGCCTAAAGATCTCTCACTGTTTACGCTCCGATTCATGCGCGTGAGTAAACAGAGCAAACAGTGCAATTCTACACTTATTTACCTATTTGCCACCGTACCTTATATTTTATTCCCTTCTTTTAATCCGTAATGGTGTGCGCATCCCGTGGCACCTAAGCGTTGCACCTGCCCTAGAGCAGTTGTTTTGAGAATTTGATTAGTTATTTGATCCTTTTAGGCATTTGAATTTTCATTGTAATTTTGTTAGGAAAAAACGTCCATATCTTCCCTCTATCTGCAGGTTGAGATTAATTTGAAGCGCTATCCCACCCCTTACCCAGAAGACCTAAAGAACATGGTGAAGTCAGTGCAGAACCTGGTTGGTAAAACCACTCACACCCTCAACACTGAAAAATGTTCTTCTGGGACCAATATGGATCTCCACAGCCAAGACAAGTATGAGCCCAAGTGGCCCATTGCTCCTAAGGAGGTAATGCTTCTTTATCTTATTTTATTACAATGCCTACCTGGGTTCATAGATCAATGTCTCTGCAATTTAGCTATAAAGTGCAATTTATATATATATATATATATATATTAGGAAAAAACGTCCATATCTTCCCTCTATCTGCAGGTTGAGATTAATTTGAAGCGCTATCCCACCCCTTACCCAGAAGACCTAAAGAACATGGTGAAGTCAGTGCAGAACCTGGTTGGTAAAACCACTCACACCCTCAACACTGAAAAATGTTCTTCTGGGACCAATATGGATCTCCACAGCCAAGACAAGTATGAGCCCAAGTGGCCCATTGCTCCTAAGGAGGTAATGCTTCTTTATCTTATTTTATTACAATGCCTACCTGGGTTCATAGATCAATGTCTCTGCAATTTAGCTATAAAGTGCAATATATATATATATATATATATATATATATATATAGATATATATATAAAGGATAGATCAGACTCAGAATTTTGATTGGGCGAGCCACGTTTGAAGCTGTTGAGGATTTTAAACATGGGTATGAGGATCCTAAAGCTTTTTAGGCATGCCAAACTTAAAGGTACAATATGCAATTTTTGTAAAGTCAGCGCTACTTCACTCTGTGTATGTATATGATGAGTCACGCAAGTACTGGCCTACTCCGGCCTAGGCCTACATCTAAAATAGTCCAAATATAAACACATATTATAGTTGCATTGTAGTGATTCAGGATACGACAAAAACACGTTTTGGAAGATGGATTCATGATTTTGAGCAAAAAAAAAAAGTTACGTAGTGTACCTTAAATTATTTTTTTATACATTTTAATGTTTATTACAATAATTGTAACACATATAATAATAATAATTTATAAATTTAGAGATAATTTTATATTAATTTATTATATTATTATAAATATGTTTTATTAATGTATTATATTATTTTACATATTTTGTATTACTTTATTATATTATTATAAATATTATTAAATATTATTTATAATAATATTTAATAATATTATTATAAATATTATTAAATCATACTTTATTATATTTTAATAAAAAATTAAGAACTATTTATTAAACAGTTGTGTTATGTTGGTTATCCAGGGTTAAATGAACTATGACTGTAATGCACAGCCTCTCGTGGCTTATTACTCAAATATCCATTACTTTGGAGTCACAGTTTATTTTGTCATTGAATCATGAGACACTTGTAGATTAGTAGGCATTCTTTTGCAGGTGACAGAGCGAGAGGTCAAAGACTTTTCGAAACCACCGATGTCTGATCAAGGCGTCATCCTCAACTCAGCCATTGACATCCCAAAACGCAAAGACAAAGAGGATCTGACTGAGAGCTCGGAAGTATGACGAGTTTTCTCTTTTAATTATCTCTCGTTTAAATGCTAGATGCCTTTATCCTTTTTAAATATTTATGCACAGCAATATTTTGAGATTGCAGCTTATTTTAAGCTCCCTTCAACCTTTCATAGCAGTTATAATGATAAATTATTGTAGATACAAAACACATAGGGGATTTACAAAGTCAGTAATTTTGAAAGAGAAGGATGAGAGTGTGTAATGTAATTTAGGCAGTAGTTTATTTGTTTTTGAAGGTCTGGTATTTGCATTCTCGGTGTCTGAATCAGTTTGGTTGCATGTATAGAGTGTCGAGTAGTGCTCAGAGTGTTTGTTAAAGGTTAGTTGAACCTGCGGCGATAAAATACACAAAGATCAGTGCAAATGTTTCATCTCTCACAGCCAGCAACCTCCCTTCCGAACCACTAGAGCTGCAGTGTTGTTTAGGACACAGGATAACATCCAAGTCATTAACTTTGCCTGTGAATATTAGAGCAAAGCTGGTGCAATTAGTAGCGAATGTCACAGTAACATTGTAGTATCCTTCATTTTTTAGTAACTCACTTTAAAATATCCTACAATTATTTATTTACTCGAGATCTGCAGTGTTTTTACTCTTGCTCAGTCTTCAGTTTTATATCCTGTAGCACTGCTCCGAATACAGATGGAAATCTTTTAGTAAACAAAAATAAAGGTCAGCGTGAAATATCAAGAACACTCTGAGGATCAATTAAAGGTTCCTATATGAAAATATTAACTGAATTTAGGAATGCTAAGATGATTTGAGTAAACTATTATAAATCACAAGGAATTATGCAAACACAGCTACAGTACATTCATAATCCATTCATTGATGTCAGACTTTTCTATGCTTGCAGTAACACTTTGTTTAGAATAGCATACAAGTGCATGGTGTATTGTGTCCATTGAAGCTTGGCCTCACACTGCTTTCCCCCATGGTCTCAGAGACCCCCGGCCAAACTGAGGAGCTACAAATATTCTTATTATTATCAGGGTTATCGGGACCTTGGGAGTACCAGTGCCATAAACCTCATGTTTCTTACACATTCTTTTCTTTCTAGACCATGAGAATCCATTTTTGTTTGTTTGTTTGTATATATGTACTGTATGTATGTTTGTTTTGCTTAGATTTCTTTACATCGCGTCGTTCCCAAGCCTCAACAGCCAGAGAATACGAGCCTGGCCGTTACTTCCTCTTCCTGTTTCTGCCTCATAGTAAGTGTCTGAGAGACCAGACAGCAGAAAATCAGCTGAACATATGGGGTGGCTCATTTCAACTGCATTCAAAGCAAATTCAATTAATTTTCTCAGACACCCCCATTGTGGGTGAAACATTTGTTAAATACATGCATGGGTTTGTTTCCCATAATGAAGTCAAAAAAAAAAAGAGGTGAAATCTGGTGACTCCCAGTCCATCCGTTTCCAGCATAACGTCAGTGTTGGAATTACAGGGGGGCTAGATGGAACTGAGACCCCCTAGTTCTAGTCATAGTCTCTCAGTTATCTCGAAACCCAGGGTAAAGGGAGACTGTCCAAACTTGAAGTGTCATTTACATTTGTTATTACAGCAAGAGATTGCTGTCTCTGACATTTAAAAGAAGTATTCTTATTTAAAATATATTAATAAACATTAAACAATAAATTAGAAATATTATAAAAGAAAAAAATAGTATTAATGAATCAAAATTATAATTACTCACAATGCTTTTTACTATATATATATAGTCAGCAGCACATACTGGGTGAAAAAAAATACCCCTTTATTTCTAGAGGAGACTTGACAAAAACTTTCAATAGATTTAGTTGTTTTTTAAAAGCAAACAACAATTTTTTGTTATGTTGGGGAATTTTTTTAAAGGAGTCTCTTACAGTCAATGGCACTAGGGATTTATCCAATCTAAAATACAGTAAGAAAATACTATTTTAATGTAAAAAATATATATTTTAATATATTTTAGAAATGCACATTTTTCCTGTGGTGGCACAGCTAAATTTCCAGCAGCCATTACTTCAATCCTCATTGTCACGTGATCCTTCAGAAAACATTCTAATATGCTGATTTGGTGCTGAAAAAATATTTCTTCTTATTAAGAATAATAAGAAATTATAGTGTTTTTCAGGATTCTTTGATTCAAAACAACAGCATTTATTTGAAATATAAATATTTTGTAATATTATAAATGTCCTTTACTGTCACTTTTGGTCAATGTATCTTTTCTGAATAAAAATCATTTAAAAATCTCACTGAATCCAAATTTTGAAAGGTAGTGTATAAGAGCTCTTTTATTCCAAATATTGGGCTCCCCTAAATCTTTGGTATCATTCGAACATTAAGTCATGCATCAAATGGCCCCCATGCTGAATTTTGTTCACAATTCATTTAATAGAAGTATGAAAGCTTTAGCCTGCCGCATCAGTTCACACAATCACATTTCTTTTGACCCGTTGTGATGGAGCAATGAAGAAAAAAGACAAGATGAGTGAAAAGATGAAGGCAGAGAAAGGGAGAGGCGGCTGTTCTGAGAGAATCTTCTGATATGACTTCTATCTTGCTCTGCTGCCGGTTGTGTGAGCCAGCCTGCTGATGTACAGTCAGGTCTGAGAGGTGTGACTTTTGCCATAGACAGCTGTGTGAGAGCTGGAAGCTCCTGGGGGATTTGAGCAGACAAGCCAGGACAAGGCCTGTGAATCATAACAGTCTATATATTACTAATGATGAATCTCAACTTGATGTTGAGGTGTGAGATCACACTCTGTTACTTCTAATATATTTCTCAGCTTCAGCTTTGTTTAACTTCGAGGTCATTTTGGGCCCGTGTTTGCGTTTTAGAATCATGAAACTGTCAATATACTGTAAAAGCTTTACAGAACCTAAATACTAGCTACATTAATGTGTCTTTGCAGAGGTATTTCATGTTTTAGCTTACTGATCCTTTTTTAACATTAACTTAACTTTATTCTGTGTGTCTTAATGCCTTAGTTTTACTAAAAGAAGATCCTGCCTAATAGAGTTTTATACAATATGCAATTAGGCAAACAGATTTTCATACAGCCAAAATGTTTGCAGTTAGTTTAGCAACAGTTTTCAATATAATTGGTTTTCAATAGATGTTGGCATGTGAAAAAATATATATTTTGATTTACATTTATTAGTGACCTTAAATTGGATTTTACCTTATAAGTTTTAGTATAAAAAAATGTGTGTTGCTGGATCTTGGTATTTAAATGAAAGATTGCAGGAAAAACACACCCACTGCCCTTGTGTTTCTTCATTCCTTTATATTATTAATTCACTGTGAATTTTAAACTTGTGTTTCCAGGACTCCATGGGAGGCTCCCCTAATGATATCCGAATTTCTGACATGAGGCCGACTTTGGTAGAGCCACCAATGTACAAACCAAAGGTTGTGTTACTGGGCAAGGAAAAAAAAGGTTAGTAAGACGAAGAAGCCTGATAGATAAAAGTCTGCATAAAATCTATTTTTTTAAATGCATGTTGTTGATTTTATTGAGAACAATTCATTCTTTGACCTCATCATAACTCAATCTTTCAGTGAAACGGTCTCAGTGGTGACGTATTCCAGAATTATATATAGTCTGCTAAAACTCCTTACAGTTGGCTGCAAGCTCACATTCAGACCTGCCTCCATCTAAACAACAACTAATAGATAAAATCAAGTCCTTGCCCTACATTTTTTTTTTTGATAATGTTTCACTCAGATGTACAGTGGGTACGAAAAGTATTCAGACCCCCTTAAATTTTTCACTCCGCCTGTAGTTCCGTTGATGCCACTAGCGCAGTGTCTGGGAGCCTGACTTGAGCTACCCAGCCCGTCTCGATGGCTCCTGCGAACCGTCAGGCTCGGCTATGCGATTCAGTCACCCGGCGTCCCCCCCCCCAAGTTCAGTGGCATCCACT